ATGGTTTGGGCGCTAGGGGGTGGTGCATGATTAGAAGATGGAAATGGTCACTGCTAACTTATTACAGTGTGGGGGGGGGGCTCTACCTAATATGCATATATATATATACATATGTCTACATATATGCACAGAAAAGCTGGCCAATGATACTTGCTGTCGCAAATCTCCGCCTCCAAGCACTGCTACCGCTATTCCTACCTATCGCTACAGCTAAGGCTGTAGATACACACACATGGTAGTTTCCCAAAAGAGGGGTACCCCAATAGAGACCCAAAATACGATCGTCCTGATTATGAGGACCCCCAAAAAGGTACCCCTTATTTGGGGAACTACCCACGTGATTCAAGCTCCCCGGGAGCCTGCCTCGATGCACACCTCCGTGGCCTCCTCCCCGACCTGACATGAATGACACGAAGCTCTCGTAAGGCTTAGCTTAATAATCATAAAAGATCAATACGTATATCAATACTAATAATAATAGCAAAAAGAAGAAAACTAGTGTATTAGTATTTTCGTAATATTGCTACCACTAGTTGGTGCGAGGCTGTCGGCCTTCTGCGCGCACTTGTCCGTACCCTTTGCAAGCAAGCGCGCTGTCCTGGAAGGAAGCAGAGCAATGAGTGCTGAAGAACCAACATTGGCCCTAAACCCCTGTAGTCTAAACTCCTGGTATCCCACGAATAACCCCTATAGTAGTTTCCTATATAACCCCGTTTAAGGAGTTTACACCATAGCTCGCATGGGCAACATGCGCCAGTCCAGGAACGGCCAGCATCTTGCGTGCGTGCCTGGCTGCAGCTAGGAATCGCTTCCCTGGCTATCGGCCCTCTTCTCAGTCCCGCCTTCCGCTCCTCGATGGTCTGCCACAAACGGTCAAGCCTCCCGAAACCGGCTGGAGCCTGCGCAGAGCTCTGTGGAGTTTATTAGGACTGGAGAAGAAACTCCCTAAACTCCTAAACCTCCCCAAACCTAAACTCCTAAACTTCCGAACCGCTTAACCCTAATCCCTAAACCCCTAAACTCTGGAGCTATTCTCGTCCTCCTGATGGCACTTGATGGTCTTTGAGTTCCATGAGCTCTCCGGCCTGGAGGCCTCTGAAGCCAGAAGTTTTCAAAGAACTCATTACTGCTGGGCATAATCTAAACATCACACGACTTATTACTATAAATAAGATTAACGTCAATACTATCAATACTGCGATTTATTACTATCCGTCGTATGAATGTCACTCACATTCATAATGATTTCGCCCCGGTCTTCTGTTGGGTGCCGGACGGGCAGCGCAGTTAAGGCGCTCCACGCCGAACCGTAGGCTGCCGTGGTTACCAGCCAGCGTGAGGCGTGCATCCCAGGCCCTCAGCTGTAAGGCGCAAGCAGCCAAGGAACTTACAGCTGGTTAGTAGGGAATAAAGGAATATATAATAGAATCCCTATATAGATCCTATATGATGTAGTCCTTTATTCCCTATAAACCACTAGTAAGGTTAGCAGCGAAGGGAAAGGTTCAAAGTTCTGGCCTGCAAATTGGGGCCCGAGAACGCGCGCTATTGAAATGCTATCCAGCACCCTCGAGCTGGCTGAGGGAACACAAAAGCCATGCTTGGCAGCTAGCATCAGGCATATGATGCATCACGTCATGGCGCACTCCCCTCGCTTTCTCTCTCCCAAAGTGAAAATTGCAACATCTACCTATCTACTTCCCCTGCCGTGTCAGAGGGTGAAACAGAAGATTGTAGCCGCACACTCCAGCTGCAAGGTCAGAGCATCAGCGCACCTCAGCTGGCTCATGGGGTGATGGGGTGCCTACACTAGGGAGGGCCCTACTGTCAATCTGAGGGCTGTGCCCAAGAGGCCTGTGGTGTCCAGGTTGGATGGAGGGACCTGGACTGCCAAAATTACTTCGCTTGCTCTGTCCCAAGTCTCTGTCCCAAGTCATCTAAGTGGTCCAAGTGGCATTGTGGCTGAGGCCCAGGTTCTCCGCATCCACGTGGAAGATGACTGCCACATTCGTGGGCGTTCCCTGGCATCAAGGGCTCAAGGGTGCACATGTCGTGTCACGTCGCATTAGCTGCTCAGCTGCTCCGCGCCTTGAGGAAATTGGAGTGGGGGAGGTGGCAGCGCACGGTCAATCCAGGAATGGAAAGATGGCACGTGCAGGCCGTCCAATTGGTGACGAAGCTGTAGCGGCCAAACGCATATGGCCTCAGGGGTGGGAGACAAAAGCTAAAGAGGGCGGGAAGTAAGCAAATTTAAGGCTTTAAGAAGGAAATACTAAACGATTAGGGAAAAACTATGTTCCCCAAATTGTTTGAAACTCAAGGCTTTCAGACTTAAGCCACAAGTCAACAAGTCACCAGAGAGGCATCTCATCGGTCTTGAAGAACTGACGCTTCGGGAGGTGCTGCCTGATGGCATTGGGGTCCTTGGCAGCCTCGGAAACTATAGGGACTACATTTTAGTTTGTTTCATCGCAGTATATAAAATATGTATATGTATACCCAATTCCTGTAGTAGTTTCCATTCTATTTTCCGTTATCCCTTTATAACCCCAATATAACCCCTTGGCAGCCTCATGGTCGAGAGCCACGGTCTGCCAAAAGTTTCCTGCCAGTCGCTGCCCTCCCTCGCGCATGTTCACGGCCAGGTTCATGATGTCAGAGCCTCACAAGGCACCAATTTAAAGATAGGCAAGAAGGATTCTAACAAAGGTTCTGCCCTGAAAACGAGGTAAGAGGGATTATCATAGGGATCTTGGCCCTTATAATCGAGACCCCCCAAAGCAGCCTGGGGGTCCCGAGGGATCCATTCGTTCGGATCCTGGGCTCCTCCTACTCACATGAACCAGGAATGGAAAGACAAGTAAGTAGGTTTGTTGGGCTTCATAGAGAACAGGAAGGCCTGAGGCAAGATCGAATAAGCGGTGTAGTGAAAAATCCATGGGCGGTTTAAAGTTATTTTTCTTGTCGGACCTTTTCTTCAGCACTTAGTCCTGTGGAACTGCACTGGTGCACGGCCCAGGGGCCACCCCCACTGAGCGTTCCCCCAATGTTTACCCAATGTTGAAGGTTCAGGGCTTCAGATTCCAGATACCAAAAACAATAGAGCCTGGCCTTTATAGTTCCAGTCCCCGCCTTTGAAGCCAGTAGCTTCCTGGTCACCACCCCACATCAAAAGGAGCACTTCGTTGGGGGAGCCAGGCAGATCAGTTGGTCGGGATTCAACATCAAGACAGGTGTGGGTTTAAAAGGTCAGTCCCCAGGAGGTAGTTTGCCCAAAGAGGGGTACCCCAACAATCTTCTATGAAGTCCTCATTATGGGGACACCCAAAAAGGTAACGATAATTTTTGGAAGCTCTAAACGTAGCTTCCAGCTTCTCTTCCATTATCCCTATGTAACGCCTATGATCCTCATTTATATCATGAGGACCCCCAAAGAGGTACCTAAATTTTGGGAAACTCCCAAGGTCCGGGAGGCCTCGTATGGCGCGGCTCAGCGCCGCGGAGATCACGTCGTTGCTAGAGAGGAAAGAGGCTCCGTCCCTGGGCTGCTGATAAGGAACTTTGATTTGAATCAGTCACTATATTAGGGGAACCATCTCGGATGTTATACATACCCACTAAAGTCTTGACCCTAAATAGTAGCCTCCATGTTCTCTTCCATTATCCCCATAAATCCCCATTACGCCTAATGTTGGAAAGCCTGGTAGCTTAATTTAAGTTCCAAGACAGCAGCAACCAAAATCACAATTTAGCTAATGCATTAGATGTATACCCAGTATGGTAACTCAATTTAAGTTCCTGAACATATAACTAGATAGGGAAACCATATGAAATGTTATATCCTGAACCCTAAACACCCATATCATGGTAACTTAGCTTGAGTTCCTCAACAGCAATCCAGTTTCTTCAGCTCCTGCTTCTTGGCGGCCAATTTCGGCTTGGACAGAAGTGCGACCCTGCTGAGACGCTTGGGTCCACAAAGCCTGCGTCGCTGTTAAGAAACTCAATAAACTAAGTTACCATGTTTTGGGTATATAGGATTTCGGGTTCAGGCTTTAGAATAGGGCTTGAGTTAGGAAATTCTGAAAAGAAAGTAAATATTGAGGTTTTCTCATTCTAGTACTTTACTAAAAGTTCCTGAACAGCAAGCCAGAAGCTTCTGGACCATCCAGCCGAGGATGCCCCACTGAAGCTTCCGCCGGTCTTTTTCGGACAAAGAGCTGGGGAAAAGGTCAAAGCTGAGCCTCAAATCGCTGTCCCAGATTAGGGGCACTGGGGCCTCACCCCGCATCAGAGCGTTTAGCTGGCCCACCAAATCATACAAAGTCCTTATGTCGCCCACGATGTGCGATAAATGCACCGCCAGCACGTGGATGCTGCTTCCCAGGCTCAGCAGCTCAACCAGGAAGACTTGGCTGCCATGCCCTAAAGTGAAGCACCCATCCATGGGCGAGCACAAGGACTGCTCAAGAGTCTGAAGGAACTTCACCTTACCCTGCAAGTCTAAACCTTCCAGGTCTCCCATGGAGAATTTTTCAAAATCTTTGGGAGGCTCCACGGTACGGAGGAACTCCTTGTGAGCTTTGGGCTCCAGAAGAATCTGACCAGCCTTCTGCCAAACCCGACCAGAAAGAACCGGATTCAAGTCCACCAACTTGTCCACGGCCCTCTGCAGCTCTGCCTGCAGGCTCCTCAGCTGCAGGTTCAAAGCTTTATTTGAGGGCTTCCCAGAACTATATGGGTACTGGTACGCTGGATAAAATAATATTGTGGTCAAAATTGGCGTTCCCCGTTATGGAAAGTGTTTGAAGCGTGTTTTGAGGAGGAGGCTCTGCGGCCGAGACTCTCATGTTTCCCAGAGAGCAGCGTCAGCGTGGAGATCGTTGGGGAGCTGTTGATTGCGCCATAGGTGGAAGCGCGGCCCAAGTCCATGGCTGACAGCTACTAGTTACTAGCCTCACCTACATACAAGCTTCATGTTGTATCACGATCATCACATCTGCCTCTCTGCTTCTGCTACGATTGGGAAACCTGTTAGCCGGAAACTGTGGAGGAGCCTTCAGGGAGACCTTTGCGAATTCCAAAGCGCTTTTGTGCATAAGGGCAACATCTTTTTTTCTCGCTGAGGGCGCCTCCGCTGGCTGAGCGCTGTGTGCCGTGCGGAGTTCGGAGCGCTCCTTGCACCTAGTGGACGGGCCCTGCCAAAGCTGAGCACTTGCGAGATACTGGGGAGGGAGGCACCATGCCAAGAGTGCGTCCAAAGCCTCAAGGCTGTGGTGGAATCTGCCACCCTGCGCACAAACACCCTGATGAGTCTACAAGCCGAAGACGATGCATCTGCGAGCCTTGGACAAGCACGTGCTACGTGGAACTGTGCACGTTGTGAAAAGCTCTCCATCAGCCATGATGAAGTTCATGAAGCTGCTGGCTACATCCTACACATGCGGCTCTTGAAAACCTCCAGGGCGGCATTCACAGCATCCTCATCAGCAAGGGCACAACTCAGGCTAGGCCTTAGCAGCCTTAGCAGCCTTAGCTGCCCTGGTGCTCCTGCGGAGCCTGTTGCCCGTGAGGAAGCCCATGCAGCGCATCTGAGCCACCAGAGCGCGGCCACCGCAAGCTGTGGCCATGGCACGGGGGCCCGAGCTTCACGCCCGGAACAGCCATGCGAAGCAATAACAAGTACCGACAGCACAGTGTCAGGCAAGAAGCCTGGCAGTTCTCAACACCTAGGGCTCCTTGAACAGCTGTCATTTTCTGCACTGGAAGTTTCACAACATCAGGACTCTGGCAGGATCTGCGCTCTGCATGAGAAGGTGGAGGCCTGCAAGACACTGCGCTCGATATGGAGGGCCCTTTGCATGGGCAATCGCACTGGTGCCCAGCGCAGCTGCGAAATTGCCAACCCCGGTCTCACGGAGAGAACCGACTCCTGAAGTCTCAAGTTGTGGAGTGGTGCTGGATGCGTCACCAAGCTGCTGCTTCCGCGAGGTGTGGCCACCAAATCTGACTTCCTCATGCGCTCAACCAACAGGCCTGCGGGCTTGGCCAGCTCCGCAGAGCTTTGCACGACCACTACCGAGCGCTACAAGTTTGCAGGCAAGATCTCGCGACATCGCAAGCGAAGCAGCACCTCATCCACACGCATAAAGCCCACCAGGCCTTCCATTCTTACAAGCCCCAAGCTGAATCCTGGCTTATCTGGGTCGAGTTCCGACCCGAATAGCTATTTACTCTAAATCAAAGGAAGCAAACGATCTTGCCTGAAACGTGGGCCCGACACTGGATGATTCAAAAATGAACGCTGAGAAAAGAACTGATGATCTCTGGAGCTCACTTGTTTTCAAGCGCGGCCGCCGAATGCGGAGGATTGATGCTGGGCTTCCGTTGGATGTGGGATGTGGCTCTCTATGCTGATTAGCTTGGTGCTACAGCGCTTGGCGCTTGTCGCTGAGGCTTTGGGCGCGTCAACTGCAACCACAAACTGGTCCACAACGTCACGGATCTATCAATAAATTCTTGCGTGCACGCTTGAACTTTTAAGCTCTCTTTAACCTACTAATGCCACCCAAAGGCGGTTTCGACTTAATTTATGATGTGGCCGGAAGTCCTGGAAACAGGTCAAGGTGGATACTTGAAAATGCCTCTGAAGTAAATTCCTTGCCCTTTAGGGAATGGCATGCTATGATCTGCTCCTGTCTTCCAAGTCTTGATTGCGCTTCCCCAAACAGGTTGACGGGTCGAATCAGGCTGCGCATCTCGGCTTGGCCACAACTGGCTCCACCAATCCAGCCATCTGCCGCAAGCGGTCTGAAGCATTGACGCAGTGCCGTGCAGACTGCCACTGCATCGACCAAACACGCTGGTTTACGGTGAAGTGCGGTCGGAATATACGCTCACAGTCTCCACAGTTGCGACAAAGGCAGTTGTTGGGAGCAAGCGGTTTCCTGGGGCACCATCATTGCATCAGCATACTGAGTTGCTGTGACCGCCACCATGGGGAAGCTCGTGAGGAAGAATTCAATTGCTCGCTGCTTTTTGTCAATGGCCCCCTTTAGAGCATCTCTTAGTGAAAACCCCCTCTACCGTGACCGGTCGCAGCCCGCAAAACAACCCGGAGCCCCGAACTTCAACACTTTTGCTTTCGTTGGTCAGGCAAACTGCCCAGATCCAGGAGGCTTCAGCAACTAAGTTGCTCCGCCATCGCCTCATGTCTCTGTGTGAGTACCTTCCAAAGAGCATCAGCTCGCCAATTTGACCGAGCTGGAAGTGTGAAGTGGAAGCCTCTCGTGCTGGCACGAGCACAATCTTGGGCTCCACAGACCTCTCTGCTTAAACAACTTTTGGACCCGAGCCTTCTTCGGATCCCATCAGCAATCAGCTACGCCTGGATCTCAGAGCTTGAGCCGGGGAGAACCTGCAGAATCGTTTCACGTTTCACAGCCTTGCAAGGGCTTGTATTGCATGCAGAAAGAAGCGCTTTGGGCATTCTGGGCATTCTGGGCACTGCACAGCCTCCCCAACTTCAGCCACTTGAGCATACGGCAGGCAGTTCTTTTTGTCTCTTGTCTCCCCAGGCACAGGCTCAAAACGGCCCAGGAAGCTGAGGCGTCGGATCCTCTGTGCCACATCCCAAGCACATGCCACGCCTGGCTGCGACAAAGCCACGATCTGCTGATTAGGGCTCAGGGCGTAGAAGCGTGGAGTTTGGGGCTTTTTGTTTGGGAGGGTCCGGGCCTACGTTGAAGTGGCCCTCGTCCAGGCCAGACCTCCAGATATGCAGGCTGTAGAGAGGACGGCGCGGTTCGAGGCTTTGATCGTCCTTCCAAAAAGACAATGTGGGTAGTTCCCAAGAATTAGGGCTCCATTTTGGTACCAACAGAGGCCCATAACTTTGAGAATAAACCATGTGTTTCATCATGCTGCAAGCTCACTCTGGGTCCTGGAAGGACCGAGTCCAATCCGCGCGTTGGATCTTCACAGGTGACCTGAGCAAAGCAAGTGGCCTCCAGGCTACGCATCATACCGAATCAGACATGATAAGCCAGCAGCCTGAACACGTACACATGATCTGTCACACGCTTCGTGCTGCATCCATTGCTTCCAACGTCATGAAACTCATCCAGCAAAAGCCTTGGAATCAACCTTGCGCCAGAAGGCAGCTAAGGGGCAGACAGGCCGCACGTCAGGTCTAACCTGTGGTGCTTGCGCACGTGACTGTTTTAGGATCTCCCCTGCCCGTTTTGGTGAACTGAGCTGGAGACAGAGTGTAGACATGCGAAAGAGCGGCACCTGGAGTTACCCCTCAAACAATAGCTCGGTTTCTTGCATCGCTTTTTTCTGAGATGCTTGCAGTTTCTGCAGCCGACAGCATACGGACGGTCGCGACCGTGCAGGCCATGGGACCTGCACAAGAGATCTATGCAATTCAAATCGGATGTAAGCTTGAAACCTGTGCCGCTGCTTTTTACAGAGGTGGGATAGCTGGCGACTACGGTCAACAAGCAAATAAGACGTGTAGTGGTACGGAATGATGAGTTTGGCAACATACAATTATCTAACTAGGGATCGAGGGGACTAAGGGAATATATTATGTAGGGATGAAGGCTGGACTATATTCACCTATTCCCTACTAAGAATCAGCAGATACTATACCCCAAAAGGAGGAGATGATCTTACTCTATATTGGGTACCATAGTATCCCCAAATAAGATACTACTCATATGTGTTCTTTTGCATGTTTCCCTCCAGCTGCCTGCGGCCGGCGGCTCGGAGGGAACCCCCGGGAAGGGCAGCTTGCGCCGGTCCTCGGCTTTAGCTCCAAACTCCAAGCCCCGGTGAAGAGATCTTCCCCCAATCTCTAGAGGTGGCCTCTGTGTTATAGATATATATATATATATATTGTTTCATTGCTGCGTCGGTATTGGCTGAGCCAGTTTTTCTATGCTGTGATGTTTCGTTACTGTTTACACATGCTCTCGAAGCTGGGCAGCATCCAAAGCGAGGATGCCCCGCGGTACCAGGCCCATGCTCTCCAGCAGCGAGCTCAAGGATGTGGCCTTAGACCATCCTTCTTCCCAAGACGTGCATGGGAATACAGCTTTAAAAAATTATGTCTTGCTTAGCCTCTCCGGGCATACCGGGAGTCCGGCCGCCCGAGCCCCCAAGCTCCAGCCAATGATGAAGGCCTCCTGGGGCAGCAGGCGACGGCCAGAATAAAATGTCAAATCGCGCAAAAAATCTGTCAAGTCTTTGCCCTCGCACATGCTGCGGCAACTTCCAAAAAGCATGCTCGTGCACTTGCAGCATCCGACGCAGCAACAAGCAAACCATTTTCTACACATCCCATATATGGGCCGGGTTTGCAATTCACGCTAGAACTTCCAGACACGCTGGCCCAAATGCCATCAAAGCGCGCTCTGGCAGGAGGACACGCAAACATTCAAACAGTTCCACAGGATGTAGCATCTATGCAGACGACACCACTTCGTGAACGCTACGGAGGCAGACCTAAACATAGATAGAAAGCACACTTGTGTAACAAAGCCCGATATTAGAACTAGTCACGACTCTCTGACCAGCAGGACTTTGACATTTCCATTAAGGTTCCTATAGATCGAGTTGCAGTTGCACTGTCATTCTCACAGGCCTCAATCCTAGCAAGTCCTAACAGAGTCTCGAACCGTTCTGGCGTAACATAGAACCCATGGATCACGTCGAAGGAAGGCGAGCAATAGCCTCCTCGTTTTAGACTAAGAACAGCCACCAGGCGCCTAGAAAATCCTAGACCAAAAAGCCCCAGGCTCGCCTGCGCTCTGGGCAGCACCAGAACCGCAAGTTGGCTCAGCGAGGTGCATCCCGCTTGCTGCACCTGCGACATCAAAGCTCCCCAGTGTTTAGGATTGAGGCTTTAGGTCATACGAAGTTCCCCCTACGTCAGCTCCTACCGAGCTTGCCTTCATGTCCCACATGCAGAGGCAGTGTTGAAGCAGGGGAACTGGAAAATCTGCGCCTGGCTGACCAGCTCCACTCCAAAGACCATTCCACTCCAGCTGCTGGTCAGGGCCTCAGAAACCACTGTACTGCAACATGGAAGATGACATGGCAACCCTGGGTCCTAGGACCCTTTCAAAGGGTACATATGGACATATAGATATGACCGCAGTAATGGAGAATGAAATGGCAAATTAAGCGGAAAACGTAATGGAAACTGGATCTATGTAAGGATGTATATACCACCCTCATATTGGTAGTTATCCATGCATAAGCCAAGTTTCCATTTTCATTGGCCAGTTTACCGTTTATTTGATTCTCCCATGTTTTGGGGGACACACACAACACACCCCTTGCTTTCAAACTCAAAGTCTCAACTTGGGCCGCCACCGCCCAGGTGCTGGCATGGCCGAAACGCAGCCCTCCGCTGAAGGCCACGAGCGCTTGGAAGCGGGGCGGTGGCTCTTCTTCCTTCACTAACGCAGGGAATGGCAATGGCCCCCTGCGGAGCTGTCTCACAGCCCTCGGCCAGGGCGCTCCCTGCAGATCCCGCCCCTGCCGGAACCCGAAGATAGCCCCAAGGCCAGTCCGATTCTTGAAAATTCTCAAAGAAGATGAGGAGCAGCGGCGCTTGGGTGCCAAAGTGGTATTGACACGTCCAGTCACAAAGCTACATGCTCAAAACTGCCTCTGCCAGATCTTACACCTGGGGCCTGAAGACAAAACGGCCCAACACTCCACATCTCATGCTTCGGAGGTCATCCAGGAGGTCTAGGTTAAGCTCTTTGCAGCTTTGGAGGGCTGGAAGAAGTTCCTCCGTCTTCTCAATGGGTGCTTCTGCAACACTGTACCTGCCCCTTCATCGGGTCGCTATGTGAAATGCTCTTGACCTTGCTTCGACACGCACGCGTCACCGATGCCCATGTCATAACGGTAGATAAGCCGGGAGACTGCTTACCCTCCTTGCCTGGGACTTGTGGGAGTAATCCGGGCCAGCAGTGGCCCTGGCCTCCAAAGCATCATGAAACCCCTACATAACCTGCCGGTTGCTGCTTCACTTTCCATGTGACTCTCCATTATTCCAACCCTAAATCTTCAAATGCTTCTCTTCTTAAATCACCTTGCAAGGCGTCCTGGATCTAAGCTGAGCCACTCCCATGTCAAAAGAGCTGCCAGGCCGCAGTCGCAGAGCTTTGTAAGCTAGTACCCCTTGCGACTGTTATGCCTTGGCTACAGTCTTCATCGGCTCTGGCACGCCTGCTTAAAGACGCCGCAACATCGTGGGGCAGGAGTGGCATTGCATACGGCCGCGCACTTGCACGACTGGATACGCACCTTGCGTTGATCTGCAAGGGTGATCCTGGCTAGCCACCGAACCTCACCTAGAACCAGATCCACAGAGAAGGCCGGCGGAGATGAGGCTGCTGTCACAAGTATCTCTGCCACTCAGCCAGGTCTTTGCAGCTACGACTGCGGCGCTGCAGCCCACGGCCACACACCCAGCACGGGCCCGGCTCGTCAAAGACTCAGAAGCCAGAATCCCCAGAAGCTGACGGAGGGCTCCCGCCAAGCAAGGCCACAACGAACGCATGGAGCGTGCAATTGGCACGCGATCCATGAAGCTTCTACAGAGACTTTTAAGCCGTGCAAGAGCATTGGGTCCTGAAGATGCCAGGACCTTAATCTTCGCAATCTCCTGTTGCATTAAACAAGCTGATGCCTTGGAGTCTCTCTCGAAACTACATGACATTCCGCGGTCTGCGGCAAGTAAACAGCACTTTGCAAAAGCTTGTGCTCAAGTGGGCCAAGGACTTCCTGAATGCTAGTAAAACTCCAGTAGGCTGCAGCAGTCGCGTGTCTCGGGCAGTTCAGGCCTTGGGGCCAGAGGTGTTCTAACGAAGTGGCATCCCACAAATGCAGCTGCTCTCAAAGCGGAAGGCAGCGACAGCAAGCCCAACACAGGTGCGTGGAGCGCGGCAGCGACGGTGTCAGAAGAGTTGACCACAAGCCTTGGTCTTGAAGCAGGACACTTGGATTCTGAGACTGCTTACCATGCACCTTTTTCCCAAGCCTGGACAGCAAGTTTCCATCCGCGCCCACAGGACCTGGGCTTGCACTTGAGGAAGGGAAGTCAGCAATGTCGCGAAAGACGTGCTCTCCTCACGGACAATGTCGGTTGACAAAGCGCTACAAGAGCCGCAGCAGGTACAGCCTTGGTGCCTAGCCAACACGATGGTTATTGCTGGAGCCGGGCTGAGCATGAGCTGGCCTGGTAAAGCGCAGGCCAAGCGCACGCGCTTTTCCGGAAAGACTTTGGCAGCAAAGAAGCCTGTGCTTCCAACCTCACGTGAAGAAGACTGCTGTGCTTTCTGCCCTTTGGGCTGTGCGATGTTGCAGCATGTCAGCCGTGCTCTGGCAACTCAGACTTGCGCAGATGCAGGTCTTGCCTCGCAACGTGTACCACGCCTGTCGAGTAGACTACAGACCACCGACGTCGTCTCACTTCAGAAGGATGGACAGGAGGCCTCGCGGCTCCAAATGAACACTTGACCAACTGCGTGGCATCGTGCAGACCGCACAAATGCCCCCGCGAGGATGACTACGGGAGGCGAGACGAAGCTGCCATCGGAATTGCGGTGTGCCAAGGAGGCTGAGAAGCACTGGCAAGATCCGGACGATGGGGCGCCAGGGCTGCCAGTGCTTCATGAAGACACGAACACAAGGGTGCTTTGGCTTTCGCACTTTGCACACATTCAAATGCGTGAAAGGGTTCTCCCCAGCCAAAGAAAACCCGAGCAGCTTGCCCTGGCCCTGCACACCAACGAGTTTGGAGGAAGAAAAGGATTTAGGGAAGGGTTTAGGGAAGGAGGGGCCTAGGGTTCTGAAAGTGGAGGTTCCACAGGCATCTCCATCTCAACATTGGCCTCCAAGTTCGGCAGGGCAGTCATAGGTGCAAGGATCGTCTCACTGAGCAGGCTCAAACGGAGGGCCACGGCCTCTTCGGTAAACCGCACAACAATCTCAGGACCAGGCAAAGTTCGAGAGCGATGTTGGGCGTGGACCAGCTGCTCCATGGCCTGGCCTCGGATTTCACCAGCAGGAGCCACAGCAGCATTCAAGGTCATGGCTGCCCAGAATGCTGTCTGTGTGTCATCGGTGAGGTACAGGTCCATGGCAGCAGACAGGGTCAGGTGCAGTGGGAGGACAGAAGCATACAGGGCACCATCCCCCTAGACAAATTTCCCAAAGACAAGGATGCCGAGCTGTCCACCACCCGAAAGTCGACAAGCAAAGCCATGGCCAGGCCACCTCCCAGGACGATTCCCTGCAAGGCTGCGGAGATCACATCGAGCTCCTGTAGCCGAAGAATTGCTAGGAACATAGCAAAGGGAGCAGAGTGGAAAGGCGATTCTCCTCTGGACCTTGCACTCGGATTGCCTCCCGGGCAGAAGTGTGGACCGCTCCCCTGCAAGCAGAGGCACAGCAAACCCTGTGCCGACGAAGGAGCGGCAAAGCTTCTCACCGAAACATCCTCAACAGCTGCCGCGTTCGAGGGCGCACAAAACACAGAGTCTGCAAAAGGAGGATCTCCCGGGCTTTGGCGGCCTTGGCCCTGGCGCCGGAGCGCTGCGAAGGCCTCGCGACTGAGGAGCTGGGTCCGCCTCCTCGAGCCAGGAAGCGGCGCCTTGGACTTCTCCGTTTCTAGCGGCCGCTCGGGCAAGAGGGGGAGCTTCAGGGCTGGGCAGGCCGAGGACGCCGAGGACAAAGGAGATCTAAGGGCCCAGGTGACGGAGCGAGCTGAGTTTATCGCGGCCTTCAGGCGCTCCGCCTGAAAGTCGATCTTGTCCCAGGTCACTGCACAGGAACTCTTGAAAAAGCCAACTCGGCCTGCCTCTTCAATTCAAGTGGTTCTTGTGCAGCCCTAGGTGTCGAGTAAGGCAGGGTTGACTGCAAAAAAGAAGGAGCTAGGGGCATAAAGTCTGAGTATGGGATTGGCTTATCAGTCTTACTGGCCTTCTGGGTTTGGGTCTAAATACCACTGGCCGCTCAAGGGAGAGAGCTGAGCTCGATGGCTTGGAAGGTGACATCATCGGCCGGTGCTGGATGCGTGTATGTAGAGCAAAAAAGCTTTTCAGGAACGTTCACCAAGGCCAAAGGATCGAGGCAGGCGAGTGAATGTCAGGGCAAGGTTGCCAGCCGAAGAAGGGCGGGGCTTAGGGTTTGAGACGCTTACGATGCAAAGATAGCACCATCTAATGCGGAACGAGATTTAATTATTTAATTCAAATCCTGAGAGCTGTGTCATCTCTTGAAGCTGCAACCATACCTTTTGCTAAGGGCAACCTTTCTCAAGGTTCCGCTTGCCATCCGGTCAGGGCACAGGGCGAGCGCGAATTGGCTCCATCCTTCCAACTTCTCGCCAGCAGGCTTAGCAAAGTTCTCACGACAACCATCGGCTCTCGCGACTGCCAACGGGCTCTGCTGACTGTCCTGCCTGTACCAGTGGCCGCAGTCTTACGGCGAAAGGCTGCTGAAGCAGAAATCTCAAAGGTGCAATCAGCCGCAGCGCGGACAGGGCGGACAGGGCGGACAGGGCAGACAAGGCAGACGGTGCGGCCAGGCCAGACACCCGAGGATGTTCCTCGGCAGGCGGAAGCCTTCTGTGCTTGCAGGGCCTCTTTGGGGGGGCCCTGCCTGAAGGCACCTTGTGACGCGATGCGGCAAACGGAGGCCTCTGGGGTGCTGGAGGTGCAGGGAGGGGGATGTTTCGAAAAGCCTCGCCACAGCTGAGGGAAAGCTGCAGGCCGCGGGCTTCCTCTGCAAAGCGGTGTGCATCTGGCACGCGCAAGGCATGGAAAGAACGGAGAGCGAAGAAGTTGCTGCGCTCTTGGCTTGGGGTGGCCAAGGCAGCCGCACGCGTACTGGAAGGTGAAGCGCAAAGAGCCTGCACAAGCCCCAGCGCCAAAATGCCCTGAGCATCCCAAATTGCATCTTCCAAGTAAAAAGCCATGGCTGCAGAGAAAGGAAGGACGAGAACCAGAGTTCTCGACAAAAGGATGCAAGGCACAGCCCCCCGGGACAAGTTAGCTATGGCAAAGGTGGTCTCTACATCCGCAAACCTGAAATCTGCCACCTGCGCCAAGGCCAAGCCTCCACCCTGCACGAGGCCATGCAACGCGGCAACCATCACATCGCAGGCCTCTCGCAGCCGAAGTTCAGCCACGAAGCCGGTGAAGGGCGCAAGGGTAAAGGGCGTCTCCCCCTCCCGGAAGTTGGCCTGGACATGGCCGCCCGGGCAAAAGTGGGGACCACTGGCCTGCAAGACAAGAGCTAAGCCTAATACCCTAATCTATCCGGAAACCTCCTTGAAATCTGAAACTTCTGAAATTCCACAGCCTAAGCTAAGCCTACAGCTAGGCCCTGAGTCGACAAAGCTTGGAGTCGATGGTGGTACTGTGGAGGGCAAGCCGGCTTCACTGTTTGAGCTCCTCCGGGGTAGGAGTCTCAAAATGGATGAGGCTCAGAAGGCCGACGACTTCGACGATCTTTCAAACGGTTTGTTTGGCTCGAGGCAGCGCTCTGCGCCTTGGGCGCCTTGGGCTGTGCAGGAGCTCCGCGCTGCCAATCGCTTTCGCTTTGGATTCCTCGGTGCAGGGGTGCAAGGTGCTGCACGATTAGCCTCACCTGGTTCGGCCTTTCACTGTTGCTATCCTTGGCCATCCGTGGACTCGGAAACCGTCGACTGATGTGACTCGAGGGCAGGGGTGGAGGGCTATGGCCACTTTGGAAAGGAGCGAGTAGCACCACCTCGAACTTATGTAGCCGCCGTTCGGGCACAAGAGGCCCAGGCCAAGCTAGGGCCAAGCTGGTGCTGGCAAACGTGAGCAAGGAGGAGATCCCCTTGACACTCCGGAAGGCTTCCAAGGCAATGCAAGCGTGAACCGGGTACCCTCCGTACCCTCCGGGCCTTGGACTGTTGGCTGTGCTGTTTGACTCAGGTCTCAGAATTCAAGTTTTCAAGGAAGGCCAATCCACTCTCAAATCAAGTTCCCCGATGTTTTGCGCCAGCTTTACAATGCTGCCATTGGTTCCTGACAGTCTGAGGCAGCTTCTTGGAGCCTCCACTACCATTTCGCCTCCTTCTGTGGGTCTCAAGGTCAAAGGGGGGCTTACGGGCCGTGCGAGGGTCTGCAAGGTAAGCAGCACGAGCAAAACAGTTTTTGAAATTTAGCTGTGAGCGCAACAGAATATACGACTTAAAAGCTATGGGTTCAAAACTTGCTGCTTCAAGAAAAGTTGCAGAAGCTGTGAGACCTCATGTGGCATGTCTCCAGAACTAGGTCATGAAATTCCATGAAGCCTGCAAGCAGAGAATGCCTCTGCTCACAGGCGGTCTGCAGAAAGATCCAAATAAATTGCCTGGGGCAAGAGCAGTGCAGCTTGTTGGGCTAGATGACATGAATTATGACAATAAAACTCTACGCGGGGCAGAAGGTGGGACAAGCTAGATCGGGGCAACAATGGAAGGAGCACATGAACCGACATGGGACTGAGCCGAAGTTTGTCCTAGAGAGTTCTTTTGCTACTTTTGGCTGGGCTTGCTGTGGTCGTCACCCCTGTGCTGAAGAAACCCTTGTGCGCCATCCTTGCTTGTCTCGGGTGGTCACCTGGGCGGACAAGTTGAGAGATCCAGGCACCTGAATCGCAACAAGAAACCTGCAGAAGCACAATCTTCTCCTCGAAGAGAAGTCAAATGCCAAAATTGAACAGAGTTCCCCTTGCAGAGTTTGTGGCCGAAGGGACAACTTGCAGCGAAAGCCGACATCTCATGCTCAAGCAGGCATGCAAGCCTGTTGGACGCGCCTGCGCCTGCGCCTGCCTCATCACTTATGAAGAACATCTGGCCGCAAAGCCTCGTGCGTCCTCTCTTCCTGCAAGCCCTTGCAGGCGCTTTTGAAAAGGCTATGCGCCGAGGATCTAAGATTGCGACTCCAAGACGGCTGAATTTTCAAAGTAGTCAAAGCCTACCTTCAGCCTTCCTCACAGCTCTTTGAGTCCAGGCTCAGCTTGCGCGTTTCGCGCGTCAAGTCCTTCTGCCTGGCCTTGATGTTTGGCTCTGCGAGGATTGCACGCGGCGTGCCGCATATCAGAAATCATATCGCATTGTCCAGGACTTCCGCTGAACATGCTGAACAATCCAAGGCATTATGGTGTAGAACTCGAGTAGCCAATGCGATCCTCAGATCTCAGATGCCATCTGACAAGCCTGCTTAGGTGCGATGGCTATGGTGTTGCAAGGCGAAAGAGCATGACGCAACATCATTGACGTCTCACTGCACAGAGACGGGTGGGCAGACATCGGAAGGCCCGGACAAAGCAGTGCAGCTTTGAGCGCATCTTTCCACGAAGCTTGAAGCCTGTCGAAAGGCCGCTCAGGGAGCTTTCGAAAGAAGGACTTTGGGAGCAGTCTTGCAAGGCTTGACGATCGGGAGCAGAAGACAAAACCTTAGCCACCCTACTCCTAAGGCTGAACCTGGGCGTGCAGTTGTCTAGGCACAAGGCGAACTAGTTTCAGCTGCAAAGGAGAATGCTTTCGGGACCTCGCCCGGCTGACATGAGCTGTGGCACAAAGCGAGACGTCTGCACCCAAGTCGACCTGAACACCAGGAAACTGACGAGCGCTTCCGCGGTTGCTTCGCAATGAAATTTGCAGGATGCTAAAAGCCTGGTGACTGGAAACCGCACGCCGCCGTGCCCAGAGGCCCCACAACCGCTTAAGGTTCAGCAACACCCATAGGCCTCCAGAAGGCCGCTGAGAAGCACAGCGCGGCTTTACGCTGATACAGCAAACTATGAGGGTGGAAGAGCCCTTCACGCATGGCCAGCCAATGACTTTTTGGGGTGAAGGACAAGACGGGGGATGCAGGCAGAGAGCACTGGGATTGAGCAGATGAGGGTCGCTACGCAAACGGTTGCCGGCAAGCGACACTGCACCGAGGTCGTTTCCTTCGTTTGCATGAAGCTCTGCACTTGATGCATCCCCAGTGGTACTGCCGAGCTAACCAGGCAGGCAGGTCCAAATAGGCATCTCCACAATCCACGCTTCGTGTGTGAGCTGGGCTATGGGAGCCCTGCACCACAAGCACATCAGCTGCAACTAGCACAGCAAGCGCTCAGCAAGTCCTCTCTGCGTGCTCTCCAGATTCTCCAGATTCTGCGAGCGTCTGCACCAGTGAAAATGCAGCAAAGCGGAGCTGCTGGGCACAGGGCTCGATCGAGCGAAGCACCGAACCCAACAGACGCAGCTTCATGTTATTCAGCTGTTATTCAGGTGCTCCGCAGCCGTTCGCAGGCAAGGACTGCTTGTGGGCTATGCAGCATCTTTCCTCACTGAAGCTAAGCGAATCTCCCGGGCCCTCAGAAACGCGCAAAGGTGCGAGCTCCTCCACTTCGTTGGCCAGCACCACCACCAAGGTCTCCAATCTTCCAGGCCGTTTCCCCCTGTGCCTCAACTTCCGCTTGAAGCGGCGGGGTTCTGGGGTCGGCTGAGTCTGTCCCTGCCCATAGTGAGTGTGGCACAACTTGCTGACAACACAACAACACATCTTGCGAAGATCTGAGAAGGGGAAGAGAGCCTCCTTCAGCGATCTTTCGGTATCAACCGCCATCTTGTAGCAACACTCTGCTCGCCGCCCAGGCAACATGCGCAACGACAAGTGCACGGCCTCCAGTGAGCGCGCGGTACGCGCAGTGCTTGCAATGGTGGGCGAACAATGCGGTGCGCATTGGCACTCTTGACGAGGGCAGGCCCAGAGAAGGACCCGTCTCCGGCAAAGTCTCAGTCAGGGGTTAGCATTGCTAAGTCAACATCCCACTTAAGCTAAGCTTCCCAAGGTGGATAGGTGGCTCGCTGGAGTCCTGTGCATCCCTTCTTTGGGAAACCTGCAAGCTTTCAACGGTCGCAGGCGACCTTGGCCCGGGAACCTCTGGGTTCCCTGTCAACGCGTCCTCCCATCCTGGGCTCCTCCAGCTGCAGCAACCGGAGAGCTGCTGAGCCCAGGATGTCAAGAGGTCAAGTCCTGTCAGTCCTGGCACAGACGTTTTCCTGTGGTTTCTGTGCACACGTTCTTACTGGGGTTTAGGATTAGGTACAGACTCTCATTATATAGGGATGAAATGAGGATTAGCTACTAACCACCTTTGTCAGCTTTTTCAGACCTCAAACACCGGGAACCGCCATGAAAATGTCGCGGGCCTCCTCCTGTGCTCCATGCAAGCGTTCATCGCAAACCAAGACCACCTGGCTCAGAATCTCAGACGCAAAGAAGGCTCAGAGGTGCTCATGAGCTTAAATGGGTAACTTAGCGAGCTTCAGGGACAGCCATGGGAGTTTCCCTCATTCCTCTACTGAAACCGCGCCTTGCCCACCTGCTTGGCACCCTGGAGCACCCGGAAAGCCTCAGCAGCAAGGCGGTCCTTAAACATGAAACCTCAAAGGGGAAAGTGTACCTCTCTTTTTAATCTACAAAGATCACCAACCCCGACCCCCTCCCCCCCAATAAAAGTGTGGTCTTTCCGTAAAGAGTCTCTCCCGCCGACATCCAAGGAACTTCGAGGACTTGCCCTGGAAACTCGAAGAGGGAGGTCGGCGGAAGCCGGAGCTCGCCGGCCTACAACTTGCGGTTATAAGGCGTACATAGGGGTATGTAGAGGTATGTGGGGGCTACATAGGGGCATATGAGATCCTGTGAGCGAAAGGGCTTGTGGAATTGAAACCTCAGTCTAAACCCTGAGTCCAACGGCGGTTCAAGCACCAGACGTACAGATACACTTCTGATTCAAACATGGTTGCTACCCTACTACTCTACCATTCGGCTTGAGGACCTTCCAGAAAAATCTAACAGCAGGCCACCTTGAACCTGGTTTCATCTTCCACTGTCTTTTCCATAAGTTGATTATCCACCATTCCTAACCAGAGCCTAAACCCTGTACCCTAAACCCTGAGGTGTTTGGCTTCAGGTTGAGTTAGTTTCCTCCGGGTCCTCTTCCTCTTGCCATATCCCTGCGTGGTTGTCTTTCTGACACCCGCCCCGCTCCGCTGCCCTAGTGGAAGTGCGTCGAGCTGCGACCTTTTTTTCTGCGCGGTAACAGGCGTCGCGCCCTGGCAACTGCACTTATCTGGAGTAGTGCCCAGGTTTTCAGCGTGGCCTAGCTGCTGTTGACTCAGCCTACGCTTTCGCTTGGACTTCGCGCCTTTTACGGTCGGGAGTGGCGCCCCCGTGGAATTGCAACCCTTTCGTACATGTGGTTGCTCTT